ATATAGTGGCTAACATTTGCAAATCTCAAACTCCCAAATTTATCCTTTCCCACACCCTTCCCCCTGGTAACCATGATTGTGTACTATATCTGCAAGTCTGTTTCTGTTTTGTAGATGAGTTCACTAGTGTCCGTTTTTTTTTTTTAAGATTCCACATGAGTGATATCATATGGTATTTTTTCTTTTTCTGGCTTACTTCACTTAGAATGACAATGTCCAGGTCCATCCATGTTGCTGCAAATGGCAGTTTTATTTTTTATGGCTGAGTAGTATTCCATTGTATAAATATGCCATGACTTCTTTATCCATTTACCTGTCGATGGACATTTAGATTGTTTCCATGTCTTGGCTATTGTATATAGTGCTGCTGTGAACATTGGGGTGCATTTATCTAAGGAGTTCCCTCCAGATCTATGCCCAGGAGTGGGATTGCTGGATCATATGGTAAGTCTGTTTTTATTTTTTTGAGGAATCTCCACAGTATTTTCCACAGTGGCTGCACCAAAATACAATCCCACCAGTAGTGTAGGAGGGTTCCCTTCTCTCCACACCCTCTCCAGCATTTATCATTTGTGGACTTTTGAATGATGGCCATTCTGTCTGGTGTGAGGTGATACCTCATAGTTCACCTCCTTGGTTAGTTTTATTCCTGGGTATTTTTCTTTTGATGTTATTTTAAAAGGTATTTTTTTAACTTTTTCTGATACTTCATTTCTAGTGTAAAGAAATGAAACAGATTTCTGTAAATTAATCTTATATCCTGCTACCTTGCTGAATTTATCTTCTAGTAGTTTTTGTGTGGCATCTTCAGAGTTTTCTATATATAATAGCATATCACCTGCATATAATGACAGTTTTACCTCTTTCCTTCCAATTTGGATCCCTTTTGTTTTCTTTCTTTTCTGACTGCTGTGGCTAGGACTTCCAATACTTTGTTGAATAGAAATGGTGAGTGTGAGCATCCCTGTGTTCTTCCAGATTTTAGCGTGAAGGGTTTCAGCTTCTGTTAGGTTGGCTGTGGGTTTTTTATATTATGTTATTTTCCCTCTACTCCCACTTTGGTAAGAGCTTTCATCATGAATTGATGTTGCATTTTATCAAATGCTTTTTCTGCATCTATTGAGATGATTGTGTGGTTTTTGTCTTTTTTGCTGATGTGGTATATGATGTTGATTGATTTTTGTATGTTGAACCATCCTTGTGACCCTGGGATAAATCAAACTTGATCGTGGTGTATGATCTTTTTTATGTGTTGTTGGAGTCGGTTTACTAATATTTTGTTGAGAATTTCTGCATCTATATTTATCAGAGATATTGGCTTGTAATTTTCTTTTTTGGTAGTGTCTGGTTTTGCTATCAGGGTGATGGTGGCTTCAGAAAGTGTCTTTGGGAATGTTCTCTCCTCTTCAGTTTTTTTGGAAGAGTGAGAAAGATCAGTGTAAGTTGTTTGTTTGTTGGTAGAACTCCCCCAGTGAAACCGTCCAGTCCTGGACTTTTGTTTGCAGGGAGTTTTTTGTTTTGTTTTTTAACTACAGATTTTATTTCACTTGTGATTGATCGGTTCAGATTATGTTTCTTCTTGATTCAGTTTTGATTAGCTGCATGTTTCTAGAAACTTGCCCATTTCTTCCAGGCTGTCCAATCTGTTGGCATTGTTCACAGTATTCTCTTACGGCTTTTTTGTTTTTTAATATCTGTGGTATCAGTTGTTATTTCTCCTCTTTCATTTCTTATTTTGTGTGTTTGGGTCCTCTCTCTCTCTCTTCTTAATGAGCCTGGCCAGAGGTTGATTTTGTTTACTCTTTCAAAAAAACTATTCTTGGTTTTGACTTTCACTATTATTTAAATCTCTATTTATTTCTTCTCTAATCTTTATTCTTTCTTTCCTTATGCTGACCTTAGGTTTTGTTTACTCTTCTTGTAATTCTTTTAGGTGGTAGGTTAGGTTGTTTGAGATGTTTGTTTTTTGATGTTTGCTCTGAACTTCCCTCCTATGCATGGTATGCCTTTGCTGAGTACCATGGGTTTTGTGTGGTTGTATTTTCACTGTCATTTGTGTCAAGGCATTTTTTCATTTCCCCTTTGATGTCATTGTTGATCCATCAGTTATTTATTTAGTGGCATGATGTTCAATCTATACAGTTTTTTTCTCTTTTCTCTTTCTTGGTTGACTTCTAGTTTCATGCCATTGTAGTCAGAAAAGATGTCTGAAATAATGTCTATCAATCAATCATCTTAAATTTGTTGAGGCTTGTTTTGTGTCTGTCCTTGAGAATGATCTATATGCACTTGAGGAGAATTTATATTCTGGGGGGTCTGGGGTGTAATGTGCTGAAAAATAGCAACTGAAGTCTAGCTGTTCTATTGTGTCATGTAGGATCTCTTGTCGTGTTGATTTTTTATCTGGAAAATCTTTCTATTGATGTTAGTGGTGTGTTAAAGTCTCCTACTTTTACTGTGTTCTCATCAGTTTCTTCCTTTACGTCTGTCAGTACCTGTTTTATGGATCTAGATGCCCCTATACTGGGTGCATGTATGTTGATGAGAGAGGTCTCCTTCTCTTACGCTGATCCTTCTACCATGTCACTCCCTTCTTTAGCTTTCTGGCCTTTGTTTTAAAGTCTATTTTGAATGATATGAATATTGCTACCTCTGCTTTCTTGTCATTTCCATTTGCATGAAGTTATCTTTTCCCATCCCCTCGCTTTCAATCTAGACAAGGTTTAAAATGGCAATACATACATACCTGTCAATAACTGCCATAAATGTCGATGGACTAAATGCTACAATCAAGAGACAGAGTTGGCAGACTGGGTAATAAAAGAAGAACAAGAGACCCACTTCAGGGTGAAGGACATATATAGTTTGAGCAATTTACTTATTTATTTTTCAACTCTGATTTTTTTTCATTAAGTATAGTTCAACTTTGTTTTCTTTTTTATTACAGCTGTCACTACCCAAGCTCTGACAGAGTGTGGGAATAGAATATCCTCAGATCCTCCCAGGGAGCCTTTTCAACCAGTCCAGGCAGGTCTGCAATCATAAATCTTCATGGTGCTATCAGGCTGTTGTACCATTTAACAGACCAAAATGCTGGGACAGGTTGGAGAGGATAGGAAATGTGCTTGTGTTTCTACTTATGCTAGACGGATGGAGAATACAGCACTTTATCGTGTCCTCTTCCCTGCAGCTCACCCCTCCCTTGGCTTCTGTGGCCTCATTCTCCTGGTCTCTCACTGTCTCTGACCATCCCTTCACTCTGACAGGGTTGTTGACCCCACCCACCACTAACACCGTGCTCCCCAGGTTTCTGTCCATAACTTCTATCACATTTCACTCTTCATATTTGCTAATGACTCCCAGATTTCCAGGTCCATTCTAGACTCTACGTCCAAATCAATCTAAATATCCAACCACATCCTAGGCATTCTGCCTGAGTGTCCTGTTGGTGTCCCAAACACAGCATGTCAACACCAAGCTCGCTCCTTCCCACCTCCAAGCTGACCCAGCTCTCCTCTACTGATAAATGGCCTCACCTTCCACCCTAGGGTCACCTTCCTTCCCCTCCACATCCCATCAGCCACTAAGATCATCTCTCTTCAACCCATCCCAGAATTTAAATCCATACCCATCCCAGAATTTAACCATCCCAGAATTTACATCCCTGGTCTGTGACCATGTTCTCTCTGATCTGGATAACCACCCCTCAACCTTCTTATTCCTCCTTCAAGAACTGTCTCACACATGCCTTCTTTTATTGTGATTTCTCCACAAAATGAGCTGGCCCTTAAATCAAGTCACACAGGAGCTACTCAAAAACCCATTTACCAGCCTGGGCAGGTGTCAAAGAGTCCTTCCTCCCTTCCTTCCAGGAGAGAAGGAAGAGGGAGAGAAGAAAGAACAGGTGTCTCTCTCTGCCTGGAATCGAACCCAGGACCTCCTGCATGCTAGCCATGCACCCTACCACTGAGCTCTAGCCTCTCTCTAGCTACCTTAGTTTCCCCAGACTCACCTTTATGTCCTCAACTTGGGAGTATGCTGGCTTCCAGGTTCCTCAAAAAAAAAGAAAATTCCATTTTTACATACATGCACTCAGAGTCCTGCGTACCTTTCTAGGTTGCTACCTATGCTTATGAAATTTCCCAAAAGGTCTGAATTAGGAGTCTCATTTCCTCAACAGACTTCTCTGGACTTGACAGGTGCTGACTGACTCTTAGGATCAAGGGCTACAAATAATTCATTCTTTTGCTCAGTCACAATGATCAGAGGTGGAAACATTCGTGAATGCATAATTCTGGCCTCTAATTTTGCCTTGCCATAATGCCACAGAGTGGAACAAACACTTGTCAGATTTTTAGGCTGTAGTCAGCCCCTGGAAGCAGAAGCCTGACTGACTGTAAAACACTCTGCCTCTTCCCCCTTGATTGTAAGGGTTATCACTATCCATAAAGTTAATTCAAGTCTTAAGAAAAAACAACACTTCATTTCAATGGCATCCTTCACACAGATCACTTTTCAGTGTAACTTAAGATGTGGCACAAGGAAATCCATTAATTTGGAGGCATGGCTCCCACTCTGAGATGAATCCATTGCACTGAGTAATGCAGAGGAATGATAAAAATCAGGCCCAGCAGACACTCTTGCTTAAAGTCAAATCATGTGTTTTTGTTTGTGTTTACTTTGGCAGAAATTTCATCCCACTTAAACGGGGCATGTAATAATAACACATCCATGAGCAGGGAAACCATTCCAGTGTTAGCTCTTTACCCGCTTCTCCGAACTGTCCAGAGTGGGTCCAGCACACCTCTCCCGCTGCACCTGTCCGCGGACAACCTGCTCCACGAAGACCAGGCCACCCTGCAGACACAGCCTGCAGTTTCCCTCTGTATTTCAAGGCTCCCCAATGGCTTTTAAGATTTTGTCTTTATGTTTGGAAAAGATACAATATTTATACTTTCTTTCTCCCTCCCTCCCTTCCAGTGCAAATCAAACATTTCTTCTCCAAGGAATCAAGCACAATTTATTTTAGAACTGAACAGTACAGACTGAATAAAAGAATCAAAGTTTTATCCTAAACTTTCCCAATGGACACTTTCTCACCAGACTCCATGGCACATCAGTGGCCTTCACAGTCTTAACAAAGGATGTACCAACTGTGTCATTTGGTTGAGGAGTCAAGTTTGAAAATAACAATCTTTCCATTCTTTGTGCTTCAGAACAATTCTTAAAACACATCTGTTATGTTTCCAACCCATAACCATTCAATTAAGTTTTCCTCTAAAAATAACTTAGAGCAAGAGAATCATTTACTTTATAACATATTCAAACCAGAACTTATCCATTTTCTTCAGTGTCCATGTAGGGAAAAACTGGTCCAAGTGAACAGATGTAGCAAAAAGTATGTTTCCAATTTTGGCTTCTCTGTGTTAAAGACCAGAGAAAATCCTTTGTTGTTTTCATCTTGGTTTCAACATAGTCGCATCAATATCCTTTTCTTCCCCTGAATCTTGATCTGGCATCCAACTGAAAATAAATATACAACTACATCATATTTTGGACAACAAAATTAAACATAGCTTTGCTAAGGTTTGGTAAACTGGTTCACTACATGAGAGAAGTAAACCAGTTTCCAGCACAATCAAAAAGGCAATTGTCACCGTTACCAAGGAAAAACACTAATAACAACGAAGATGGTGTTAAAAACAAAAGTCTCATATAAGGTCACCATTAAGGATTTTCTCAAGTAGAATCCAAATTACATTTATCTTTCTCTCTGAATTACACTCAATATATGTTGTTCTAACAAACTTGACTTTCTAATTAAGTTCTGTTTGGGTTAACAGTCAAGTGTATTTAAAACCTTTAAATAGCAACTGAGGGAAGAGGAAAGAGCCCTGAAAAATGTTCGGTAACATACAGCCATTTTGGGATTAAAAATCCTTAAAATTACTACCCATAGGTCAACTGCATGTCCTTTGACCTAAGCCTCACAGTGCAGCCACTTCTTAAGGGTGGTGTGGTGGGATGGAGGGTCCTAAGTAGAGAAGACAAAACTGCAAAGTCAATGTCACTCCCTAGAAGTTCCATATGAAGGAGTTATTTTAAAGCTAAAACTTACTAATGAAAACAACAGAGCCAGTGAAGGACAGATGGCTATTTCTTCACCTCAGCACTAGATACAGTAGCTAAGGGCCCCATTTTCAACAAATTAGTTATTCGTCTTTAAACTTGGGAATCATAAGCAGGATGATGAGATGCTTGCACTACGAGAGATCAGCCGATTCAAACTCACCTCGCCTTCACTCTGGGTTATTCACTCACTGTTTGAAATATTAAGCAAAATTACCAGCACAATTAAAACTGGTATGTTTTGAGTCTTTGCCAAGAGTGCACAATTAAAGTTGCATTAGTTAAGTGTGACAGGACTCCACTATCTTGGAGCACTAACAGTGAATTGGTCTTGGAGAAAGGCTGTAAGAATCTCTAAGTCTGCTAAAATGTTCCTTAGGCTGCTCTTCCTGGTGTCAAAGTATGAGTTAGCTCTGCTTTGTGCTGATATTTAGAAATGGTCAGAAGCACTTTTACTTTTTATTCAAGACTGTTACAAATTTCTGCAGAAGGCTGATAAACTGAAAATTTTTACATGTTCTGATTTTTTAAAGTTCTTTGAGATCAAAGACCGAGCTTTAGGCAGGGAATCAGAAGGAGGTTATTACAAATTCAGTCATTACGACTAAAAAGGACAACTCATACCTCCTACACCAACTGTTCTTTCTGACTTCTCAATGATTTAAACATGATTTGAAATTCCTGAAAGATCTAAAGACTTGCATTTTACACAGGTAACAAAACTATATGAAAGAAGGCCAGAAAATCCTCTCTTCTTAGGTGAAATGACAGAAAAATCTGGCAGAGAACTGTGTCACTTGAGAAAAGAGCATGGCTGAATTTAATCTAACTTTACATCTCCCGGGATCGGATTAGTTAGCAAACATGCTCAAGTTCTGGTTTGGCCTCCCCGGTATCCTGTACTCTCTGCTTCTCCTATCAACAAAAGGGAAGGGATCTGAGTGCTGTTTCTCCACAAACAAAAGCAGGTTCAAGTTCAAGTTACTGCTGTTTTTAAAGAGATGTTCATTTTTCTGATTTCATATTTTCTTTTCACAAAGAGAAGGCTTTCAGTTTCTATTCCAAAGATCTTTGTAGATCTTTGAAATCAAAGATTAGAGGAGAAACCATCTGAGATTTCCAATGTCCTCTTAGGCTGTCTTTCCACAATCCACCATTCTAGAACTTCACACACAGACACTAACACTTTCCCCTAGTCACGTCAGCATGCCAAAGCACAGTGCATACACCTTAAACCCCCACGTTGTGGGTCTGTGTGTATTTGCCAAGTGATCTGAATACACAGTGACCAACATCAACTTTCCCCCTTTTATACTTGCCAAGACTACTCTCTTCCTCTTTCAGAAATTCATGAAGTTCAGCAGCTATGGTTAGCATAACAGCAGAACAACAGAACAATCAGCTGTGGGTTTTCATGAATGTTAGCTAACATTAATTCACTGGGTAACAAAAAAGAAATACATCCTTTTTTCCAAGTGATAATGACTGCAACCTTTTTATAATTACTAAGTCACTCACATATTTAACTCCACAAAACTAATTTTTAGCATAAGCTTTTAAAAACCTTTGGCCACTTACCATTGATCTTTTACATTCAAAAAATGAGTATTTCAAAGCTTTGCAGTTTCCTTCCTTCAGACACTGCCGAGGGGATTTTCCTTCCTATGACACATAAAACAACTTAAATGCCCGGGAAATTTTCTCACAAAGTATAAAATAACTGTCTTTCTGGAAATAGTTCCTTTTTTTTAAAGTTAAAAGAAGAAAATATTAAATTATATAAGAAATAGTTTGTAATTCATTTTGACTGTTGGTACTTAAGAAAAAAAAGAGGACAAAAAATACGTAAAATAATTTGGGGGCACTGTTTAAGGGCTCCCTTGAATTCTTGAAAACACTGGTTTCCATGGGATACTCTTCCTTAAAATGTGTATATAAAAATCTAGCCAGCTCCTTCAAGTTCCTTATATGTAAGAAAGGGAAAGAGTAAAGTTGAAAGTAGTAACGGGGTTTCTTCTCTGCAAAACTTTTACACCCAAGAAGTCCTACAGACAGACAAGAAGTCTGTGCGTGGCAGACACAGTGAGACAGAGAGAGACAAGACAGAGAAGGAGCGTGTGCGAGATCAGGCATGCTGCAGTGGCGAATGGAAGGGTTTATTCTGGAAGGTAGTATCAAGGAGTTTCAAAGCCTCTAATTATAATACCATTTTAATGCAAGCAACTTTACTTCCAACACATCTCAGCATTTCCCCACCCGTTATCCCCACAGTCAAGTTCACTATTCTGGGAAGCTCAACTGGAAGAAGAAAGTGAGATTTTTAACAGAATTTATATATATTTGTGAGGGAAGATCTGCCTGGGCCCACTGTCTAATTAACTCATCTTTAAGCAGTGAAAGCACAAAACAGAGCTTCAGAAAACTGGATTAAACCATTTCCTTTCTGCCACCAAGGCAGGATACCTCTACAAGAATATTCACAGGGGATGAGCTTTTTATGAATCTTAACAAACTATTACTTCATTATCTTAAGATATTCTGAACAAATATACCGCCATCAATTTAACTTAACAAAAAGCACCTAAATATACTGGACACATGGAAGCATCTACAGAAGAGTATATTTCACAATTCAAAGAAGCAAGATTAAAATTTAACTGCTGTGAAATCAAAACCACAGTGAGGCACAGCACCTCACACCAGTCAGAATGGCCATCATTAAAAAATCCACAAACGATAACTGCTGGACAGGGAGGGTGTGGAGTAAAGGGAACCCGCCTACATTGTTGGTGGGAATGTAATTTGGTGCAACCACTATAGAAAACAGTATGGGGAGTACTTAAAAAACTAAAAATACAGTTACTATGTGATCCAGCAATCCCACTCCTGAACATATATCCAGAGAAAACTCTAATTAAAGACACATGCACCCCAATGTTCTTAGCAGCACTATTTACAATAGCCAAGACATAGAAACAACCTAAATGTTCATCGACAGATGACTGGATAAAAAAGTTGTTATATATTTACACAAATATTTACACTACTCAGCCATAAAAAAGAATGAAATAATGCCATTTGCAGCAACATCAATGGACCTAGATGACCATACTAAGTGAAGTGAGACAGAGAAAGACAAATATATCACTTATATGGAGAATCTAACAAAACTGACACAAATGAACCTATTTACGAATCAGAAAGGACTCACAGACAGAGAAAACAAACTTAGTTACCAAAGGGGAAGAGGGGAGGGATAAATTAGGAATTTGGGATTTGCAGATACCAAACACTATATATCACACAGATAAACAAGGACCTACTGTATAGTACGGGGAATTATATTCAATAGCTTGTAATAACCTACAATGAAAAAGAATATATGTATGTATAACTAAATCACTATGCTGTATACCAGAAAGTAACACAACATTCTAAATCAACTGTACTTCGATTAAGAAACAATTGTAACTGCTGCAGAATTTTTCTGAATGCTTTACCCGACTAATCTGTCTAGTAACTAAACACTCACAAGGACTAATTTATTAAAAAAAGAAAAACAGGACTGTTCAAGATCAGTTAAAAAGTAAATACAAGATATTCCTGCCTACACAGAGCCCTCAACAGCAGGTAGGAGGTGTACACGTGCAAATGTTCACTGGCAGCGTGAGCAGGCCACAAAGTGCAGGAGGTGCCAGAGCAGGAACAAGGAAAGGCGCTGAAGGGGTTCCCCCTCCCGGGAATGTAAATGTATAAAGTAACATCTGAAAAAAGGAGACTGAACTTGAATTTTCTGAATCAAGGTTTAATGACATCAAACTGATTTGCAATACATGAGGGAAAAAATATCAAAACCTTACATTTTATTACTATTAAAGAAACAATAATAAATTAAAAATTAGACATATACTGCTTATAAACACCTAGCTGTATGCAGTGCTTGACAATATAAAGGAAGGTCATGAAATCTTCCTACTCAAGGTGAGCTCCAATGCAAAATGAGTCAAGCAGTTTTGTCCGGGAATAAAAATGACCCTGTTCAGTGTTAACTTTAAAAGCTCAAACAGCCACAATTAGGTACCCTAAAATCTGAAAAGTTCTGATTCTCAACACTTTAGAAAGATGTTAACAACGTTGCCTAGAGTACTACTTAACTAAAAACAACTGGTGCATCTGTGCACTGGGAAAAAACGTAACTTAAATTTCACCTGCGCTTCATCATCAGGGATTTCCCCTCAAGCCAGTTTCAACAGCCCAACCCAACAACTGCAGTCACTCCCCCAAACCTTTATTTTGCAAGTGCCAGTCTCACTCCTAGCTTTTATAGTAAAACAAAAAAGCTACAAGGTACCACGTCTGTGGCATTCCGCATCCCCAGGGTCTTGGCCACATTCTGGTCTTTATGTCTGCTTGGGCCCTAGATTTGAGTCTACATCAGTGACTCTCAAAAGTGAAACAGAACAGAGTAGCAAGCTTCTCTACACTATTACGTTCCTCCCTCAAACTCCCTAATGAGGTTGCCCACGTGAATAATGGAAAGAGAAGAAAGACTACAACTGTGCAAAAGACTGTAACTAATTTATAAACTGATGTTTCCTCAAACTGTATCTAGGATGCCATCTTTTCCACAAGCTTTCAACCAATACTACCATCTGCCTGGTGGGAAGATCCATCTAGGTACACTAAACCTGAGAGACAAATGTTACTTCATCTTCTTCCACCTCCACCCCTAATGGCAGACTGCTAACTGTCCCTTAATATTCACTCTTTCTTTTTAGTGGGGCATATGGCTGGGCTAATTTCCCAACCATCCTGCAGCTGGGTATGGTCATGTGACTAAGTTCTAGACAATGGAATACTTAGGGAACTGAAATGAAAATGGGTTGGTCCTTAAGGGAAAATGGCTTGCCCCCCTTTCCGATTTTACTCCATATTACTTGGCCTGATGGTGTGGCGGCCAAGCAATCCTGACCATGAGTGTGAGAATAACATCCTAGCTCCCTGCTGTCATAGCACCTAAGACCACAGATCAACAGTGTCTGGTCCATGGAAGACAGCATCAGTCTAGATCCTACTTATAAGCACAAGAGCAAAAGAGAGAATTCTCTATCTTGTTTAAGCCACTGTTATTCCGGGCCTCTGTAACATTTCCCTAAACCTATAACCTAACTAATACACTACCAAGCTTATTTGCCTTCTGATTGGTGATTCCTAAATATGGCTGAGCCCAAAAATCAACCTGGAACATTTCTAATTTATAAGGGAAAGGAGATCAGTGGAATCTGTACTTTTAAGCTCCCTGTCCCCATCTCCAGGTGATTCTGATGAAAAGTCAGCAGGTCTGGAAGCTGTTAACAGACACAAAGGAGATGGCTTGTAATTGTGGTTCTTGGGCATAGTTTCAACCTTTTTGATCTCCTAGGAGTCATAAAATTCTAAGTTTATCCAAGAGATGCCCTTTAAATCTGCCTTTTCCTTGCTTCTCTTTTCCAGCCCCTAATGAGGATAAATTTACATCCTTATCACCATTACCCTGAGTTTCTCGGAGCCCCTACAGTTCTTTGACTATCTCTCATTGCAGCCCTAGAACGAATTATTTTATGTTGAATTCCCCCCTAAAGTGAGATCCAGTAGCCTTTCAAGTGAGTTAAAGAGAGACTATAGCATCACCTGCCAAAAGATCAACTTCTTTATTCAAGGAGCTGAGGAATCAAAAACCTTATCATAAATGAGGTGGCCATACATAGCAGGTACAGACCTCAGCAGAACTTCCCTTGGTCTTGAGTCCCAAGTGGGGAGTGGTGGGTGCCAGTGACACCTTCCGAAAAGGTAGGATACCATCCTGGATTTGCATAACCCAGTGTTTTACCTCAGTACTACTTTTATATTCCAGTTGAAGTGACCATGCGGGATGACTTTAACACAAACTTTAAATGCACTTCCATTTAAGAGAGTATTTATAAACATCATGTTCTCCTAGCTAACCAAACTCAGCCACAAAAAAGCCACATACTCAATGGGGGAAAGCAACATCTGTGCCACGTGTCCTGGTCATTACCCCTGCCCAAAGCTTTCGAGCTTTCCAGAGATCCAATTTCTGCTCAGGAGCAAATGGTGTTCCATTTATTTGCATGAATTAGGCTTGGCACGCAAATGTTTGCTAAATCAGTCAACCACTGCAAAAAACCAACTTGGTATTCTCCCTGCCACCAGGATCCTCTACGCTATTTTTTTGGATTCTCCCCACAACCATCACAGCCCTTTACTTGATAAACTACTACTCAACCTTTAAGACTCGGATCAAATGTCACCTTCTATGTGAGAAGTTTCCAAATTCTCAAACAAAATAAGCTGCTCTCCATTGGGTGTCCAAAGTATTTTGTTCCTCTACTCATTAAATATTTACTAAATGCTTACACAGCACTTATCACAAGAAGTTGGCCCCTTACATGTCTATTCTTCCCATCAGACCAAGCTTACGTAGGTAATGACTGTAACTGATTCATCTTTGTATCACCAGCACCTGGCACCATGCCTGCTACTTAGTAGGTATTCACTAGGAGCTGACAGAACATTTGCACCAATTAAGGAGCAGAATGGAAACAGCCTTGGACAGGGAAGCCTGAACACAGTGTATCCGTTTCCTCAACTGTTTAAATTGGACTAGATAACCTCTTACATTCAAAACAACTCTAGTTTTACCAGACACCCGGAGGCCAGTCTGACTGACTGCCAAAATCAGTGAAGTAAGTGTACATCATGACTCAGCAGAAACACCGATGTAGCCTTATGGCTGATGTCCAGTTGGGGGTAGCTGTCTTTTCTTTGAAATAAGGACAACTTTCTGAAGTTACATCTCTAAATGCAAAAATAACTGACTGCCCTTTCACCAGGCCTTTGTGATTGGAAACGGTTCTTGCTTTGGTTGGGTTTAAGGCCATAATCCAGGACTCCAGTCAACTCCGGACCTCACTACAGACTGGTAGTGAGCGGAGAGTGTGACAGTAAACCCTTTATCTCCCATCTAAGCGCCTAAACCCACAACATCAACGGTAGGGGGAGCAAGATAAAAAGTGGTGAAAACACCAAGCTGCCTTATTAACAACTTACCCGAGAATGCATAGAACAACTCAGCAACAAGTTCAAACCAACACAAGGTAAGTACAGTATCTAGTCAGGCACAACCGAACAGAGACAGGAGGAACCATCAGCCAATACAATGTACCAGGTTCATGTAATTCTCTGATAATTTTATCTCCCTTGTCACACTGTTGGGAAGTGAGACTCTGACTTGAATTTGCCCGAGTTCATTAAGTTGGAGCTGCGCTCGGCACCCAGGACGGCCAACTCTGAGGCCAGTCTCTCCACCGCCACCGCAGGTGGGCCGGGAGCCCTTCGCCAGCCCCGCCTCCCCGTTTCGGGCGTCGGGTCACCAGAGCGCCCGGCCGCGTTACCTGGAGCACGCAGTCCGACTGCAGCAGGCAGGCGCCCAGGTCCTCCTTCACGCCCGCGCACGCGCCGCCCTCCGGCTTGTCCTCGTAATACCGCGGCATGACTGCGCCTCCAGACCGTGGCGGCCCGGACCCACTCGAGTCAGCAACGGCTCAGACCCGGCAGGACGCCAGGGACGCCGCGGCGGGCGGGACCGGAAGGCCGCAGCAACAACTTCCGGCGGGCGCGCGGCGGATGACGGGAGTCCGAGAGGCTGCGCGCGCCGAGGAAGTGGATCATGTGACACGTCCCGCCCCGCCCCCTCAGCTCCCGCGACGTTGCGGGAAGGGGAGTTGGCCCCGCGGC